GTATTTATACAGTGACAAAGGTGCTTTTAAATAAATAAATAAATAAATAAATAAATAAACTGATGAAACTGATTTTATGTTGCAGACAATAATCTTGTTGATCAGCTTCCAATCAGCTCCTGTGAGTGCTTATGTGAATGTGTGTGTGCGCACGTTTTCACTACATCATGGGGACCATTTTCCAGAAAACCACAGCCTTGTGGGGTCCCAATACTCCTCAGACTAAAGCCTGGTCCCAACAAATGTTGATTTTGGGTGGAGGGTAAGATTTAGGACCAAGGTGTGAATTGAGTTTAGGTTAGTTTAAGGGTCAGGTGAGGTTAATTTTAGGGTAAATTATCAGAGTTAGGCTATAAAATTACCAGAAAATGAATGAAAGTCAATCCACAGTCCCCACAGGGATATAAAAACAAACCTGTGTGTGTGTTGGGGGGGTTGACGTGCAGCTTCATTGTTTTCCCTCCTTGTTATTAGCTCTCTCAGGCCACAACAAACAGAAACTTTACACCTGATGTTGTGGAAGTGGAGAGGCTGCGGCGCCAGTCCGAGATGCTTCACCGAGGCCGAGACGTGCATCCACAGAGACAGAAGACACGGACAGACACAGCCTGTCCCACTACACATACCCCCTCCACCCCACCCCATCCCAAGACATGTTTAAGCTGTTTTTGAATTTGTTGAAAGGCCCTTCATTATTTGGACCAAAGGAGTCCTGACAGATGGAGACATTAGAGAAAGCTGTTCCTTCTGTCCAGAGCTGGGCCGATCGGCCTCGATGCTTGAAGCCTTCAGGTAAAAGAAATCAAAGCCAGGCTTTAAGTGTTTAGATTTTTGGGACTCTAGCTTGGGTTGAATCAAGAATTATTTAAAGATGCTTCTTGACGGCCTGAGGAGAACAAACCAGTTCAAGCAGCTTGGTTGAATTTCTTCAGGTTTTACCTAATTTCTCAACAGTATCCAAAAAATAAAATAAAAAAATAAATAAATACAAACTTTTACAAAACAATGCATGAACTTTGTTTGTGCTCAGTGTTCAGTGAAACTTCTTTATAGCTTTTTAGTTTGAATCAGAACATATAATTTGCTCACAGAGACTGATCTGAGCTCGCAGGAAGCCAACTCCAGACCTTCCTCCTGTGTCTGTGTGGGTACATTAAGGTCATACAGACGTGTGTTTATCTTTGCTTTTGAAACACAAAAGAATTGTCAAATAAACAGGAATAAACAGCCTTGTTCCTCCAATTGTGTTCAGTTCTGAATAATAAAAAGTAAACTTTTAGAACATTTATTAAGATAGAAAAACTGCAGCATAAAACTGTGACATTATATGTTCGTGTTGGTGGAATTGAAGGAATTTATTTATTAGAAGCAGTTCAGGTTTGTTTGTCATCATAAGTTTAGCTTATCATCGCTGAATATTTTTGGAAAATCCACGTGCCTGCAACAAGAGAGAGACCACCTCACTGTCAGCCCAGACCAAACGAGGAAATGGAAATAACAAGAAGCTTAATTTACTTTTAAAAGTGATTATATTTAATGTGTTGCTGTAATGGTATTTCATAGGATGAGCGTTTTCTGTTCACTGACATTAAAACTTCAGCTCAGGCAACGTTTTACGGCACAAACCAAGGAACCTAATCTTCAAAAGTACAAACAACGTAACATTTTTGACACCCGGGGCGTTTCAGCACGTCCAGTTTGATGACTTAATGACCCAATCACTACACTGTCCTCTGAGGCCTTAAAGCGATGCTCCTTCCTGACTTTCTCTGACTATAATGTTGCTTCCAATGTTTGGGAGCCTTTCCTGTTGATGTGCCCTCACTGAAACACAAGCCGTGCAGTTCACCACAAATGGCCCTAATTCATCATACAGTAAAATAGGAAGCTGAAGGCAGGTGAAAGAGGAGAAAGAGTCAACTCACAGGGAGTGAAACTGAACCCGACCCGCCTCAGCTAAACATAGGAAACTAAAGGTGACAATCATGCTCTTGTTTAGGAGAGGGGGACACTTTTCAGCTATAGTGTGACCACATGAGATATGATACAGTTTTACGGCATGCATTATGTGCATTGTGGTTTAGCGGAGCTGAAAGGTGCTTCTTTAGACAGAAGGGTGCGCCAGAGGTTAGAAATGAGCTGCAGGCCAAACAGGACCACAGCCACCGAAGCCTGAGGTCTGAGGAAATCTGATTTTCAGTGATCACCACACAAAATAATCAGACAGAACGAACAGATAAAAAAACAGAAAATAATATCTCCTCTTTGACGTCACATGATGTTGTATAAGAAATCATCTTTAGAAAGACAAAACAGATGAGCTTTAATAAAGTCAACCCTTAGCGTAGTACCAGTTACGTCAGAAATCCATCCGTAAATCACAACGTTGTGATTTTTTTAACCCATTATAAATGCAGGCACATTCATTTCACAAAAAAGGCGAATAGTTCAACAAACAAATTCATAAATATACAACTTTTTTTACACAAACTCTAGTTTTTCATCATGTTTAAGCCAGTTTTAAGCAAACTTGCTGCAGATAATGGATGTTTTTGGTCAATCTTTTACCTCAATTTATAAAAAAAATTGTGTGAACTGTTTTATTACACCCACCATCTAACAAATTGAACACAATGAATGTCTTCAGCATCTTCGCTGTTTTAAAGCATACTGATATGTTTTATTGTTGCTCTAGGTTCCTAAAGAATAAGAGAACAATCTAACAAGTTAATATGACATATCCAAATGTAGGGGGAAAGCATTTTATTTAACTTGACAAACTACAGAATCACTGTGGAAGTTTTGGTGGACTTGTGGATTTGTGGTTTCTTATTCAATTAAATAAAAAAAAAGGTGAAAAACATTTTCGTCCACTAGGTGTCTCTGCTGCTTTCTTTTAAATTCAAAGGTGCATTTTGTTCCTTTGAATCCTTGGAGTATTATTTTATTTTGCTGTTTGAATTCAAACTTTTAAGACAATAAAAAAAAGACAAGTCCTTGCATCTGATCCTCAGCATGAGGCCTTCACCAAAGTTTAAATCCATCTGTGAAGGACGTCCTTCATGCGAGATTAAAAACTGTGCTTCAGGTTTGTGTAGGCGTGTTTCTGGTCTCACACAAAGACAACGAATGCAACTGAGGATAGCTGGAAATTCTGCGTTTGGAACGTGTCTTGTTCTCTGCACTTTTACTGAACCGTCAGGTGGAAGAAGCAAAAGCAGCTCCTGGGGCTCCTTAAGTGCCTTTCAGCTGTGAAGTGACTGAATCAGCCTCAATGACAGAAACAGAATTGTTCTGCCTGAGCAGCGGGATTTTGTGAAAACTGACCAAGAACAAATGCAGAGAACTTTATGTGCATTTTCATTCGTCTGTGTTTTGGGCCTCCATTCCAACTGCATTTGAATCCAAGACAAATGATTTTTGAGGCAGATGCTTTGGCAGAAATTGAACATAAAAAATGAGGCTCAGTTTCCTCTCTCTCTCCCTGCCACTCCAGCTCTTTCTTCAGTAAAATTTGATCTAATTTTCTTTCCTGTCCTTGGGTATTTCCCCACAGAAATGAAGGGATAGTGATTGCTGGGTAAGATTGGAGTGGATCTAATCTTCCACTGCTCTCAGTCATAATCCA